TGGGATACGAGCCACATACGATCCAGCCAAGCTCGGTGCACCAAAGCGTAGGTTGGTTCTCTCCTGTTTTCAGTCGTTCTGTTAGAAGCAGATCATAGAATAGATCCGCTCCGATGAGCATATCCACCTTAGCAGGCACGTGAAACCTTGGATCTGCCACTTTAACTTGAGGTGGAATATGCCATTGGCGTAAGTCGATCCTGCGTCCTGGAAGAATTCCTGTTACTTGTGGGACGATCAGGAATTCCAGAACCCAAGCTATCATGTTGAGTAGATTTGACTTTCGCAATCGTCTGATAAGTTGCTGTGAATCTCTCACCGTTAATGCCAGCGATAGGGATCCTGACTGCCTTACGCTTGAGACGCAAAACGTTCAAAGCATGCTCGGTCATGAAGTTCGACTGCGAGCCGGAATCGAGAAGAACTCTCAAACGGTGATAGGCTCCTCTAGCATCTTCAACTTCAACTTTGATGACCGCTGTCGAAAGGATCACTTGTTTCTTGCAAATCTCCTGCGATGTAGCCGTGATGCTAGTGCACGTGACATTCGCTGTCGGTTTAGAAGACTCGCCTGTAGGTGGATCCTTGTCGGGTTCGTTACCGCTCTCCTCCGCTTCAGGTTTAGGGCGAACCGAGCTTTCTTCGAAATGCAACTGCGTGTGATGTTTCCTACCGCAACCGCTGATGGTTCAAGCCCTAGATCTGCACTGACTGACTCGATGTCCTCGTTTAAGGCAGTTAAAACACAAATGTTTTTCCTTGACCTTCCCCACACGCTCGGACATGGGCATCTGCTTCAAGACCTTGCATTTGTTGACGTTGTGTGAATCGTCGCAAATTCCACACGTTTCCTCAATTTCCTGTTGTGCTGCATGCACTCTCACGGTAGGCTTCGGGTTGGGAACCAATGACCTTTGCTTCCATGTTTCGACAGGCTTTTTCGCTGCATTCGCTTCACAACGTTCGAGAGTGAAACATCTACCTTGAAGAAACTGGATCGTTTCCTTGTATTTCGGGATTTCCTTGTGCTTGATGGTATTTTCCCACCGACTGAGCGTCGCATTATCAAGCTTCGACGTCAAGAGGGAAATCACCAAATTCTCGGACATTCCCAGCATCTTGTCATGGAACTCCAAGCCTTCCACGTGCCGGCTGCATTCATCCACAAGCTTTCTTAAGTCTGCTGCACTTTCATTCTTCATTTTCGGGAGGTTTATGATTCCATTCGTGTGTAAGTCAAGGATTGTGCGCTTGTTCTCGAACCTCTCTACGAGCACATTCCACGCAGCGTCAAAGTTGTTTTCGTTGAGGATTTGCTCGTTAATGACATTCTCCGCCTTTCCTTTCAGCGACTGCGTCAGGTAGTGTAGCTTAGTTGCGTCCGACAAGCCCGGATTCTTCTACATCAAATCTCTTGAAACAGCTGCTTGAAACGAAACCACCTTTCGTAGGTCCTATCAAAAGATGGTAACGGGACGTGAGGTAATCCGGGTACTTGGTTGACGATGGCAGGCTGTCCCAGGGCGACAGGAACGGGCGCTGGCAATGCAACCTGTGGCACAATCTGCTTCTTACGAAATGTTTCCAGAGCAGTGCAAATTTCCACACGAAGATCCTGGTAGACTTGCTCGAAATCAATGAACTTTATTTCCTGCTCTCCTCGCAGGTCAGGAAATTCCACATAGACCTCGTTTTGTATTAGGTTGAATTCGTCGTAGCAGGAATCCACCAAACGAAGATACGTTTCTAAATGGTACACAGTTACTCCTCCAGCTCGATTCATCATATCGTGAATGCGTTGCATTTTCGCTATCACGGCATCCCTTCTCACGGAGAACGTATTCAACCTTGCTCCCAGTTGTTGCTTCTGCATTTTCTGATCCTTCTTCTTCTTTTGTTGAGCGACCGGTGAGTGGACGACGTTCACTCCACCGCTGCTGAATGCACCAGGCTCAGGTGATTGATCTTCTTCATTCATTTACACTCTCACTAATTGTTTTCTTCCGAATGTTCGAAGCAGTTCTGTTTTGTTTACTTTTCACCACTTGCCTCTGCGCTTCTCTTCGTAGGAGGCAGATCGAAAACACCACCAGCATTTGCGCTGGTTCACACTTTTGTCCGGTCGGCTTTCTTGGAAGCCACCGCTTTCTTCTACTCCGGGTAAACTTCCAAAAAAGTCGACGCTTTTCCCTCGATCTTCTTGCAATTGAGGTTATGCACAACACAAAGATGTCCGGATGCGACTCCACGCGAAACTCCACTAGCGAAACTCGTTCCGCGGCGAGCCGGTTCGAAGGACCAAATGTTACAAACTAACAAGTAAAACGACGGTTCGAATTGCGAGAGAATAAAACGCGTGTTTTACCGTACCTTGCTATTTATTTTGTCGTCGATTACAAGCACTGTTATTGTCGTTTGGTTGGTAAAACCACAGTAGCGCCGATAGCGCATCGGGGTAGGACCAACAATCAATACGAAACTAACGATTTTAAATTGGCTCACTACTTGACTAGCCTATTGGTCCCAAGCAAACGATTAACGTACCCCATAAATTCTAGTACTACGCAATGTTTGTTTTGATTCGCTATGAAAGTTTGACAGACAAAATGAGGGGTTATTGGTTTTTCCTATGTTTCGATGGGTGAATCCATTAGCTTGGGACCGAAGAGAGTACCAGAGCTGAGCCAAAAAGTTGAGCACGTTATTTCGGGACCTTCTAGTCTTAGAGTTACCTCTATGGTAGGACCGTACATAAATAATGATGCAATTTGAAAGGGACCGGGGCTAATCACAAATTACGTCCCCCGGTAACTGAAATAAACACGAGTATTCACCGGTTGGTGAAATCATTGATATTATTGATCTTTTCTGATCGATAGAACGGAAATGGTCGATTACGGCGAAGTAGCGCTCTTCCCTACGTACTACACAATTTACTTCTAAATGATATCAATCATCACACTAAATGACTAAATGGTGATACGGTCAAAATTTGGTCAACATCAACTTGACGTATTTCTTTCAATTTTGCATTTAAAAAACCTGAACACCCCTCATTTTGAAGGTGTGTGTGTGTAGAATGTTGCTCCTATTTTGATTTTGGAATTCACTCTTCAGTTGTCAAAATGCCGTCCAAGCAAGAAGAGCAGCGTATCAAAATTTTGCTCGCGCATCGCGAAAATCCGAGCTACTCGCACGCAAAGTTGGCAAAATCGCTAAAAGTTGCCAAATCAACCGTTACAAATGTAATTAAAGTGTTTGGGGAACGTTTGTCGACAGCCAGGAAGTCTGGATCGGGGGGAAATCGAAAACCGGAAGTCGCTGAGACGACAAAGAGAGTTGCCGGTAGTTTCAAGCGAAACCCTAACCTCTCTCTCCGAGATGCCTCAAATAAGCTGGGTGTATCGTCTACAACCGTGCATCGAGCCAAAAAACGAGCCGGACTATCGACTTACAAGAAGGTAGTGACTCCAAATCGCGATGATAAACAAAATACGACGGCCAAAGCGCGATCCCGGAGGCTGTACACGACGATGCTGACGAAGTTTGACTGCGTGGTAATGGACGACGAAACCTACGTCAAAGCCGACTACAAGCAGCTTCCGGGACAGGAGTTTTATACGGCAAAAGGAAGGGGAAAGGTAGCAGATGTTTTCAAGCACATGAAACTGTCAAAGTTCGCAAAGAAATATCTGGTTTGGCAAGCCATCTGTACCTGTGGCTTGAAAAGCAGCATTTTCATAGCTTCCGGGACTGTCAACCAAGAAATTTACGTGAAAGAGTGTTTGAATAAACGTCTGCTGCCTTTCCTGAAGAAACACGGTTGTTCCGTACTGTTTTGGTCGGATTTGGCATCTTGCCATTACGGTAAAAAGGCCATGGAGTGGTACGCCGCCAACAACGTGCAGGTGGTTCCCAAGGACAAGAACCCTCCCAACACGCCAGAGCTTCGCCCAATTGAGAAATACTGGGCTGTTGTCAAGCGGAACCTAAAGAAGACCAAAAAAACTGCTAAGGGCGAGCAGCAGTTCAAGGCAAACTGGCTTTCTGCGGCGAAGAAGGTGGACAAGGTGGCTGTACAAAATCTGATGGCAGGGGTCAAGCTTAAGGCCCGGCAATTTGGATTTGGAAAAGCGGAAGCCTAACTGAATATTTTTCCTGAATTTTATACTAATTGAACTTGAAAAAGAAATTTAATTTGATTTTTTAAATAAACGATTTCACCGATTTACACGCGTTTTCCCTTGACCAAATTTTGACCGTATCACCCTTTATTATAAGTGAAATGTCATAACAAGATAGCTTATGTAACGGAATATCGACTTTAGATTGAACTTGGCGTTAATCTTCACCAACTTTCCTATCATCCGTTATATTTGAAACATTTTTGTGCCATTTTGAAAATTGAATCGATTCAAAATGATTGATTAAATCGGTGAATCGATTATTTAAAAAAAATGAATCAATTCGCTTAGATCGATTCTTGCCTCAGGATCGCCCAATGCTAGAGTCGACCCCCTGACCCTGAAACCGATAAATTTTGCGATTTGAACCGGGAAAAAACCGGGAATTTCAAAATGGAAATTCACTGGAGCCGGCGCCGGTGGTGTTGTGGTAAGTGTGACTGCTTTCTCACCCCAATGGGTTCGGCTTCAATTCCAGCCGAGGTCGGTGGGATTTTTCTGAGGCATAAAAATCTCTGGTCACGTCTTTCTTCGGAAGGGAAGTAAAGCCGTTGGTCCCGGCCCATGTGTGTTGAATGGGTGCGATATCCTACGCAGGTGTGGAAGCTGCCTTCCTGCACATTCGGTTGCCGTCAATGGATGGCAATCGATGTCCGTCGGTGATTGGCACTAGATTACGGAACAGAGACTGACGTTAAATAAAGGAAAGAAGAAGAAGAAATTCACTGGCCACCCTGTAATAGACCTCAATGCCACCTGTTACAAATGATGATTCGGATCGAAATTCTCACTATTATTATGATTAAAACATTCCAGATCTACGACTGCCTCGACCTAGGACGCCGAATCGATGTTATCTGGCCCAACGAACAATTCCGAAGCTACGGTGGCCGCTCGTCCTGGAAAGACTGGCAACCCCAGGAAGGTATGGTGGGTAATATCGTGCATTACTGGCAACCGAACCATCCCGATCATCACTTTCGCTCGAACGTCAACCGTACCATACTGTTGATGAAAATCGGCGATCGCTACGTACCGATCGGCGAGAAAGGTGTCAAAGAGTACAACACCATTGGGTTGATTTGCGCGTCAGGTGCGTCGTCACCAGCAGCATCGGCCACTGTTGGCTCGATCAGTAAGCAACCGTCAGTGGAGGCAGTTCCCTCAATCGGCAGCACATCGGTAAGTGATTCTCTTGTTACTACTAGTAGCTCTAGTGCTGCTACCTCGGAACCGACCGTGACATCATCCCTCGAGAGCGGTCCGCCGTACCAACAGTCGGAACACGTCTGCGATGATCCTAGTGCAACAGCGAACAAACCGGACCCGGCTAACGTAGCGCCTGATCCGACACTAGTGTAGACCTGTCCAAACAATCGAAATCAAACATTCGTACTGGTGATAGACCCTTTATTCCTCTTGTTCCAAGTCTTGTTGTTACCGTTTAGAAAGTGAACCGTATTTAGCTGAGCAAGTCATAGCGAAACTTTTACAAACTCATTCTAACTACTACACCGTTTTCTAACCTCCATGATAAATCCAAGACATTTGCTTCCAAATGTCGCCTTATGATGTTCATTTGGTGAGAGGGAAATAGGAAAAAAAAGATGCTATCACAATACCGTAACAACCAAAAGATCATTTTGATAACAACCCGTTCCTAAGACTAGATATTTGTGCAGGAATGGCAGTAGTGTAGTGTACCTAGTTTTCTGTTCCACGTACTGTACACTTCGATTGGATGTTGAAATTTTAGTTTCGTTAACAATTTTTGATTGCACTGATTCTGTTTTTTTTCTGTTCTTTCGCAACCTTTATATTGAGGTCGAATAGTAGTGAAATTACTTTCATTTAAACCAATACTCTCGAATGGTTGAACAAAGGCAATGACGCGCCCTTTTGTTCGTGGGTTTTTATCTTAAACGAATAAAGGAAAACGTCTTATGGTAGATAGTATAAAAGCCAATATGTAGAAAGCAAGACATTTGTAAATTCGGAATAGCGGTTAGTAGGGAAACAGTTCGAAGCGTTAATAAAACAGAACGATAATGTTTTATTTTTGTAAAAATAGCTGATATTGTTTTTTTTTGTCCTGTAAAAAGAGAGGATTTTAAATAAAATATTTATGTTTTATCGCATTGGCGCTGGTGTGTTACTGGTTTTTTGGTGAGTTTGTGTGCATGTCTGGGCGTGTGGATGGGTGTTGGCGATTGTGAGTCCTGCTGTGAGAGCGATGCGATAAAAATTACTGCAAAAGATGAAAATGTGATAACTAAGAGTAAGTAACTTTACCTATACTGAATTTATTATTAAAACAAATGATCATGAGTAAACACAGAGAGATCGTTAAATTATTGAAAACATAAGATGTGTTGATATGAAGGATTACAGAAAATTTAAAATATCACAAATATATTAAAGAAATGGTTTAACGAAAGCGCAGAACGCTATTACAACAAATCACTCGTAGCTAGAACTATTGAATATAAAGAGAAAGTTAGACAAAACCGTTATTTAAACTGATAACAGATAAAACACCTTAATTCTCGCTTTTATTTTACGGAGAACTAATAGAGCAAACAAACGGATAATTTTTGGATCAGTAAATAGATACAGGTTAAGCTTTTTTTAATTTCGAATAAAATATTAAAATGAAAACAGTTTTACAAGCTTGCGGTTATGCTCTTTGATCCGAAACGTCCAGCTGTTAAGGGAACACGAACAAGTTTAGATCCAAGGACATCAACCTGCTTTTGAGGTAGTTCTGTCTGAGGTAAAGGGTGTCCCACATCAAATTGCATCACGGAAAAAACGCTGTAGAAAATTATCCATTAGGTATTTTTTCTTGAAAATTTGGGTAGAATTAGTTTAGAGTATATTGTTTACACCGAGGGGGACGACTCTATCTACGATGCAGGAAAGATTGTGTTTTGTTGTGGCTAGCTGCGTGCATGCTGAGTAGATATAAAGAAGATTGACGACGATTCTGAAGATTTCTTGCAAAAAGATGATGCGCGATGCAAGTAGATGCGAGAAATGAAAGAAGATTTTTCGAAGATTGATTCGCTAGTGTGAGATTTGTTGAGCATCTAGACTTGAGATTTAGATGTGTCGCCCCCCTCGGTTTACACTGTATTTTTATCCCTGTCAGTTTTTCCGAAAGTTGGAAAAAATGGCGTCACCCGAAAAGCAACGTCGCGAATTGATTTTGCGCAAGCACCTGGAACATCCTCAACTCTCTCATCGGGACATCGGAAAATAACTCGGAAACGCGCAGTCAACGGTGAGTCGTTTGATTAAACGGTACTACAAAACTCTGAGCATCGAACGGAAGGAGAAATGCGGTCAGAATGGATGTTCTATTATTTCTTTTTTTTCTTTTTCTTTATTTAGGAGAATTTTAGCCGTAGGCTGGTTCATCTCCGGATGTTCTATTAGTGATCAGGATCACAAGCGTGTCGTGAAAGCGTTTAAGCGGAATTCCAATGCTTCGGTCAGGGATGTGACCAAAAAGTTGAATCTGTCCAAGTCTTTCGTTCAGAGAGCCAAGGACCGGGAGGGACTGCATACGTACAAAGTGCAGAAGGCTCCAAATCGTGACGAACGGCAAAATACGGTGGGAAAGTCACGGGCCCAGAAACTGTACACCCAGATGCTGACGAAGCTTTATTGTCTCATCATGGATGATGAGACTTACGTCAAGGCGGACTTCCGGGGCTACTGTTGTTCACCGCCCAGCACAAGTTTGATGTTCCGAAGGAAGTAAGGAAGCAAAAGCTTTCAAAGTTTGCCAAGAAATACATAACTGCTCATGTGGCAAACAGAGTGCGCCGTTCGTGACTACCGGGACTGTAAACGGGGAGATCTACCTCAAGGAGTGTCTACAGAAGCGTCTGCTTTATCTGTTCGAATTTTCTGGAGTATGAATGTCAGCTACCAGAAACCATACTCCTGGCCTACCTGAGCGTTTAGGTCACCTATGATGATCTTGACGTCGTGGCTTGGGCAGCGATCGTACTCGCGGTCGAGCTGCGCGTAAAATGCGTCCTTGTCATCATCAGTGCTTCCGGAGTGAGGGCTGTGTACGTTGATTATGCTAAAGTTGAAGAATCGGCTCTTGATCCTCAACCTGCACATTCTTTCGTCGATCGGCCACCAACCGATCACGCGCTTCTGCATTTCGCCCATCACGATGAAAGCTGTGCCCAGCTCGCGTGTGTTGCCCGTACTCTGGTAGATGGTATGATTACCACAAAACGTTCGCACCATAGATCCTGTCCAACACACCTCCTGCAGCGCTACGATGCCGAATCCGCGGTCCTTCAGTAGATTGGCGAGTATTCGGGTGCTCCCGATGAAATTGAGAGATCGACAGTTCCACGTGCCGAGTTTCCAATCGCAAGTCCTATTTCGTCGCTGGGGTCGTTGCCATTGGTCTCGGTTCGTATTCCTCTGTTGCTGATTTTCCGTTGCAATGCTTTTTTTTACGGCAGACTCGCAGGTCCTGACACCAACCCCCTAACTTTCCGGAGGACCAGGGTGCACAGTTGTGCTTAGAGTCCTTCACTGGCACTCGGACGTAGATCAGCCGCCCCTAACATGGAGAACAGACGCTGTTGTGAGCCGCTCCTCCTGGAGAAGAGACGCTTAGGCTTGCCGAAGCAAACCCTCCCTTCCCTGTCAGCCTATAACCAAAATTCCTACCGGGGTTGGTTACCTGATCTTTCCTAGTGATCTCAATGGGATTTGTATTGCGCATTACCCAGAATTTACCGACCAGAAATCAGTAAGCGGTTATTTGTTCCAGGTATAGGTAACACCGTTTCGTGGTCCATTAAGAAGCAGACTACTGTGGCCACATCATCGAGCGAGGCGGAATACGTAGCATTGAGTGCTGCAGTGGCTGAAGCTATCTGGCTTACAGGGCCATTAGACTAATTTGGCTTGAAGACCGTCGAACTTGTTCCTGTTTTCGAGGACAATCGAGGATGCATCGGAATGGCGAAAAACCTCGAGGGCAAACGGGCCAAGTACATTGACATTAAACAACACTTTGTGCGAGACCACATTGCAGCTGGAAGTCATTCCGACTTTGGATCAACTAGCATACATCTTCACCAAACCATTGGATGCTGGTCGATTTGAAGCCCTAAGAAGGAAGATTGGATGAAAAAGGCGGTTTTTTTTATTTGAATCGATCGCCTTGGCACCTACTGGGTGAAAATTCCACGTGTTAGTGTTTTTTCTTTGTTCCGCGAGACCGAACACAGGTCTTTCAGGACATTATTCAATACTATATTGAGCCTGTAAAACTTCAAAATCGTACAATGTACCCCTTTAAACTCATTCTAGGTGTAAATATCGAACGATGTCACTGAAACGTCACTACGTTAAGCTTAATTATCAGTTCAAGCGAGTCAGCCATCAATGCTACTAAATTCAAGTCGCACCCGAAGTCTTTCTGGAAGTACGTGAAGGAGCAGCGCAGAGAGTCCGGTCTACCATCATCCATGATATTGAACGGCGAAGTCGCTTCCACTCCACAGGAAGTCTGCCGCCTGTTCTCCAACAAGTTTGCAAGACGAGAGCTTAACCAACGAATACGTGACTCTAGCAGCAAGCAACGTTCCACTTTCCGGTCAAGCTCTGGGTGGAATTGCTGTCAACGCTGAAGTGATAACGACTGCCGCACTAAAACTAAAGCCTTCTATCAACCCTGGACCGGATGGTGTCCCTTCAGTCTTTCTGAAGAAGCATATCGCTAACTTACTGTCACCGCTAAAACATCTGTTCCGATTGTCCATATCGTGTGGCATTTTTCCATCGAACTGGAAATTTGCGCATATGTTCCCTGTGTATAAAAAGGGTAGTAATTATCGTGGAATTACATCGTTGTGCGCAATTTCGAAGTTATTCGAGTTAATCATCATAGAGCCTCTGCTCTCCCATTGCAAGCAGTATCTAAGTGAAGATCAACATGGCTTCACCTCTGGTCGATCTACTACCACGAATCTACTGTGTCTGACATCGTACATCACGCAAAGTATGGTTGAAAGGTCACAAACAGACGTCATCTACACTGCTGCCTTCGATAAGATAAATCACGCCATCGCGATCACCCAATTGGATAGACTTGGGATTAGTGGAAATCTCTTTAGATGGTTTTGCTTATATCTCGCCGATCGTCAGTTGGTGGTAGCCCATCCGACATTTTCGCAACTACGTCAGGAATACCTCAAGGAAGTCATATGGGACCGTTGATTTTCTTACTCTACTTCAATGACATGAATTTAGTTATCGAAGATCCACGACTATCGTATGCAGACGATCTCAAAATCTACTTACGGATCTGCTCGATCGATGATTGTCAATTCCTCCAACGTCAGTTTGAAGCGTTTGCCAGCTGGTGCCATTTGAACCGAATGACAGTAAATCCTTTTACCCGAAAGAAAGAACCAGTTATTTTTCACTATGCTCTCCGGGACACCATTATTGAACGTGTGAGCCATGTAAAAGATCTAGGTGTCATCTTGGACTCTCAACTTACATATAAGCAACACATCTCGTACGTCGTCGACAAGTCGTCAAGGACATTGGGCTTTATCTTCAGAACAGCTAAGAATTTCTCCGACATCCATTGCCTCAAGTCACTGTATTGTTCCCTGGTACGTTCCATTCTAGAATATTGTTCTGTGGTTTGGAGTCCGAACTACAACAATGGTACTGAGAGAGTCGAGTCCGTTCAACGCCGCTTTCTGCGATACGCGTTGAGAATGTTACCTTGGAGAGACCCGTTTCATTTGTCCAGCTATGAAAGTCGCTGCCAGCTGATCGACTTGGAGCCTCTTCACACCAGAAGAGATACTTCAAAAGCCCTGCTTGTCGCGGACACGTTACATGGCAGAATTGATTGCATGGCAATCTTGGAGCAAGTAAACATTAACGTCCAACCCCGAATGCTTCGTAACAATGTTATGCTGAGAATGCCACTACGTAGGACAAACTATGCAATCAACGGTGCAATAGGTGGACTGCAGCGAGTATTTAACCGAGTTTCATCAGTATTCGATTTTCACCTGCCACGACTAACACTTCGGAGACGTTTCTCTTCATTCTTCTCCAGAAATGGAAACAGTCAATGATCATGTTTTAATGTTTTGTTGTTTTAATTTATGACTTTAATTTTAATTTTAAGTTAAACAATCATTGGGACCATATCGAGTCTGTTGATGCTGACAAATAAATAAACAGCACCAGAATAAATTATTATCGCCTCCTTTAAGCTAACGCGGTTGCGCCTTTTAAATAACTGAGCTACATAGAAAATAAATAAATAAATAAATAAATATTGAATGAATGAATAAATTAATTAATAAACAAATAAATCATGAATGAAAGAATGAATGGTGATGGGAATAGATCAGCGACATTCCAGTTGTACCCACATACCTTGCAGTTAAAATGTCATACAATGATTGTGATATTAAAAAAAAAAAGAAGACTAGCCATCCGACCGGTTCTTTTAAATATCTGTTTTATTTTACACATTATCCTAGCAACGACGTAGGTATTAGATCTAAAAATATACTCTCTACGGTCTACTTTACAAAATAGTTTTTCTTTTCATTTTCGCTATCGTAAAAAAAGAAGATGAAGAAATTCCAGAAATTATTCGCATTCTTTCGAACAACGCGCTGTTAACCTGCAACGGTTCCTAAGTAGTCGTCTCAGATTTCTCTCATTCTGATTTTGTTTCCTATTTATTGTTGATCTTTGTCGTGCTTATCAAAACTATCGTTCGCTTAGTTGCTACTGTTACAAGTTAGTTTAAAATGTAGGCATCATTTGTTTTCGTTACCCATGTTTTCTTCTTCTTCTAGAATGTCAGTCGGTATGCAGCGAAAGGGTTTCCTAAAACATGTCAGATTTCCTTTGTCTATATCTCTTTTTTGATTGAATGAGGCTTTCCGATATTAGCTTGATTTGTGATTAATTAAAACTCTCGAAAAATAAATTAAAACGATCCAAACTTGAATAGTTTGCATTGGAATGTACTCGCACAATTAGATTAGAAGATTGTTTATTCGAAAAGAATATACGGCACTTGAATTTAGACGTTTTCCAACACTTTGATTTCTATCTGTTCATGCTTTCTTACTAGAGTCACAGGCTATATGGACGGAGCTTGTAAAAGTCCTTTAAGGAATGCAATATTGATTAAAAGATTCGTTCTCCTGCGTGTTGTAGTTAGGAATTGTTATTAGTTATGTTAAAATACTTTCTCCTTAATGTACTGCTTCTAAGGGGTAGGATTTATATCACAATATTTCTTCTAAGTAATAATTAAAATGAACTTTTCTCGCGCGATTCGTTCGGTCGCTTCTGCTTGAATCGCATTCTCTTTTTTTTTTTCTTAAGTACAGCAGTCCGCATCTAGTTAGGTGATCTAACTAGACTCCTCGCTTTACAAACTGATTCGTTAGCAAAGTAGGGTTAGGCGTAAGTATAACCTATCCGTCAGTGATAGGTATTTTAAATTAATTTGCATTATCCTACAATGAGTAAAAGTTTTGTTTCTATTCACAAAAATGTAACCAACAAACGTGGACGGGCACGTGGTTTCAACAAGATCATAATATTTCCACATATCTACAAACGATACCTGTGTACAACACACCCATTGGAGGGGGATTTTGATCTTCGTCTTCTTGTTTGTTTCCATTCCATCTCTTCAAAAAACAAAGTCTACAAACTAGCTAAAGGTACAACAAGGAAACATTTAAACGAATAGTGGTGGCACCCCACTAGATAAGTCGTTCCTCGGGCGGCGGTTTTAGCACGTTGTCCATTTCCAGTCTTGGATTGCAGTACTCCTGGGCGCTGGGGCTGTACGTTCCTCGGGTGGCCCGTTTGTTACGTGCCGTCACCAGGAACGCACCGATCAGGGCGCCCGCTATCGCCAGGATGCCGATCACCACCGGTACCACGATGAGCGCAATGTCCGCTCCGGATGTTCCCTCGGCTTCTAGTGCAGCCTGTTAGTGAGAGGGGAAGGATAGAGGCGGTAGTTGATAAGTACGATGGTTGTAAGCAGCGAGCGTATAGTATAGGTATCTAACTTTAGATGGTTTTAATGGTCTATGAGTTAGTTGAAGCATGCATTTGGTGTGGATTAATGACGGATTAGTCACGGTAGGTTATCATTATTTCTAGTGTTGATATTAATATTTTTTAGACCTCTAAAAAACCCGAATTTCCGCAAGGATCTATGTTGGTATTTAAATGAAATCCCGTTTGGATTCCTGAAAGACCCATTGGCATTTTCATGATAGCAGTAGATTACAGTACAGTATTAGCTCGAATGTCAGGGTTTAGTCTGAAGTTGAAGTATAACACTTACTTAATTTTAGTAAGTCTAAGATCTCAAAATATTCAAGGTCTTGAAGTTTCGTATTCCATGTACAAGTTCAAGGTATTGTAACTAGAAATGTGTTAGAAGAAATGAAAAAAAGTTAAATGATAAATCTTTGTTTTTCCTTAATTCTGGAAAAAAATTAAATAATAAATCATATACTTTTTACCCCTTAATCCTAGCTCTTAACAAATTACAATATCTTGAACTTGTACATGGAATACAAAACTAAGACATAACATATTTTTATACCTTTTTTTTTGCTATCGGCGCCAGGGAGGCAGCTTTCACACCTGGACCCTACCTATCGTCCCATCAACTCATGGACCGGGGACCAACGGCTTTACTTTCCAAAGAAAGGCGTGATCAGAGATTTTATGCCTCAGAAAATCCCGACGGCGCCGACAGGGATTGAACCCAGGCCCTTTGAAGTGAGAAGCAGTCACGCTTACCACTACACTACCGGCGCCGCTATTTTTAATGTCTTAGACTTACTAAAATGTAAAAGTGGTTGTGTTTCCTTTGTGCTGAGAATTTCAGTGATGCTTCATAAAAAAAACGCGGGAACATAAGGGAGGTTAACATCCTGAAAATATGGTGAATTTATTGGAAGCTTTCACACCCCGAACACGATCCCTCCGATAAAATATTTAACGGTAAATTTGCAATGTTTGAAAAATCATAGCTCAGCCATTAATTGACGAATTTCAAATTTATAGGGGCCATTTGAAACTTCATACTTTAATGATTTATTCAGTATCAATAGATTTAAATTGAAATTGGCACACATTTTAGGCATCGGAGGCATCGTGTTCGGAGTGTTAAGAACCTCAAAGCGGTTCCTTAAAAAAAAACTGAAAAACCTGGAGGAGAGTTTTTTTTTGGATTTTCAGAACTCATAAAACATGAGTTCTCAGACTAATATTCCGGACACGGAAAAGTTTCTAATATTTTGATGCATAAAAAGTTTTGTTTTTTTTTCCTTTGATTTGTTTCCGTCGGGGAGGCAGCTCCCACACCTGGACCCTACCTATCGATCCATCAACTCATGAACCGGGGACCAACGGCTTTACTGGCGTGATCAGAGATGTTATGCCAGTGGAGGCGAACCAGCCTAAGGCTGAAAGCCTCCTAAATAAAGCTAAATTAATTAATTAATTAATTATGCCTCAGAACATCCCGGCGGCGCCGACTGGGATTGAACCCAGGCCTGCTGGGGTGAGAGGTAATCACGCTTACCACTACACCACCGGCACCGCTATAAGAAGTTTTGATGATTCAAAACAAACACAAATATGCTCCATTGCACAGTGGTCCAGAATGCAGATTTAGGTGGAATGATATGTTTTGAGCCTGAAACTGAAACTTTAGACTAAAAGTCTCTTCTACAAAGTTATTCCTTATAGTTAGGCCCTCATTTTTATGACAATGAATTCTAGGGTGGTTCCTATTATCATTAAAATAAAAAATCTAACTTTTTTGTTTGAATAAATTAAGGTATATATTCTTCGGTAAAGTTATAGCTGAGCAAATTTCAAGCAACTTTGTTTAAGATAACTTTTTTGTATCTCTTAAATTGGCCAATTTAGAGCTATTTTCTTGAATTGAGTAAGGGTGGCTCTTGAAAAAACAGTTTTTTTGTTCTAGTTTTCTTATTTCAAATTTCTCAGCAAAGGTGTCTTGAGATAACTTTTAGATCTTAAGAAGGCGCAACTTTTTTATTTGAAATTTCTCATGAAAGTTATCTTCTAGAGAATTTTAAAACTCTTTTAGACGAATGTTTTATAGGGTAAATTATGGCTTCGGCACCCATTGACTGTTTTCGGCAACCGAAATTGAAACGTTTATTTCACTGTATTTTCCCATCAAAACTCTTCGCTGAATGTATTAAGCCGATTCCTTACCTTTTCAGCTTCAATCAGATTACATTTTTACGACTGTGAATTCCTGTTATACCATATTTTTCTTTAAATGAAATATACATACTACAAAATACGGCTGATTTCGAGTTGCCGATAATAGAACAGCTGGTTAACACGCAGTTCAAATGGAAAGGGTGCCGAAGAAAAAGATACTGCCGACAATAGTCACTCTCACATGAGAAGTTTGGAGCGTTGTAAAAACATGTTCAACCCGTTTTGATCAATTCTGTCGATTGGAATTGGTAGAACAGCAAGCAGCATATAAATGTCAACAAACAAACCTGTCATGTATGTGTGTGACGCTGAGAAATCGCTAATAGAAGTTCGGACGCTGCTTAGATTGACGAGAATACGTAAATTCCCCTACCTGAATTTGTTGCCTGTATCTCTTCTAATAAAAAAGATATACCCAAATATAGTAAAAAATATGACTAAATTCAAATTGATTTTATACGAGTTTAAAAAATAAAATACCTCCAATTTTGTCATATTGTTGAGAATAACATACGCCCTTTCAAATGCCGTAAAAAAACTTTTTTTTTGTTTGCCCCAACCATTTGAAAAGTGCATATTTTTAGTATAAAAATGTCAATAACTCTTGATCGGCGAAAGATATTGACAAGCTTTGCCCAGCAAAAACTTGCGCCTTCTTAAGATCTAAAAGTTATCTCAAGACATCTTTGCTGAGAAATTTGAAATAAGAAAACTAGAGCAAAAAAAACTGTTTTTTCAAGAGCCACCCTAACTCAATTCAAGAAAATAGCTCTAAATCGGCCAATTTAAGAGATACAAAAAAGTTGTTTTCTACAAAGTTGCTTGAAATTAGCTCAGCTATAACTTTGTTGAAGAATGTATACCTTAATTTATTCAAACAAAAAAGTTATATTTTTGATTTTAATGATAATAGGAACCACCCTAGAATTCATTGTCATAAAAATGAGGGCCTAACTATAAGGAACAACTTTGTAGAAGAGACTTTTAGTCTAAAGTTTCAATTTCAGGCTCAAAACATATCATTCCACCTAAATCTGCATTCTGGACCACTAGAGTGATGCAAATTTTGAAATTTTTGCTCCACAATACTTAAATGATTCCAAATCGGATCCTGACTAACCTCTCAAAATTTGAACCCATTTGGTGAGAAACTGAGATGGCACAAACCATTTGAAGTTTGTATGGGAATTACTATGGTAAAACCAAGATTTTTGTTCATGTCTACCTAATAATTCACCATATAAGTCTGCTTCAAAAAATTTCAACTTTACTTGTAGGAAATTTTCCCAGCTACAACTTTGCTGAAGAACACATTTTGATTAAATACAAGGATCGAAAGTTATCAATGGTTCAATGCGCTGATGTCTTATGGTCATGCTCAATCAACTGCTCAGCAGGCAACATTGGTGTTTCTGGGGCGTTGAATAGGACACAAAAATCATGGCTACTATATCACACTGCAAAATACAGTGTTGCCTACAGAGCAGCTGCTTGATCATGTAATAAGTTTACCAACCTCTTAAATAATTAATAACTTTTTACTGTCTCGTTTTACATAGAAACAATGTCCTGCAAAGTTGTAGCTGAGAAAATTGTTTATAAGAATGGCTATCGAACTGTTTCATAGCTCAATATGGAAAAAAGACTAAAAGGCAATGTACAAAAAGTTGAGGTTTCCCATAGTAATTTACATGTAAACTTCAAATGCCTTGTGCGAAGTCTGTTTCTAACCAAATGAGTTGTAACTTTGGGAGGCTAATCAGGACCCGATTTGAAACCATTTAAGCACTGTGGAGCGAAAAAGTCAAATTTTGCATCAGTCTACTGGACCACTGTGCATTGGTGCTCAAGGTCTTGGTCTTCATTTATTTTTAGATTTCTGACACATTATAAATTTCTAAGGTCCTAAACCGTGACAAATTGTCAAAACTATTAGGTTTTGCACATTCTGCAAAGACTTTGTAAAATTTGCGATAAAATTGACTTAGTAATACAAATTATCGGTTCCTAGAACTAGATTTCCTTTGATTTGAAATATAACCAGTTTTAAAAATAAAATTGTACTCCTCTATTTCGAACCTTTCCATGTTAGGCATACTTTGTGATACTTTTGGATCACATCGAAAAATGTAACAGATTAGTAGATATTTTAGTATGAATAATACTAAATGCTGAGTAAAGTATTTAAAATGCAGTACATATTAAATTAATTATCATTCGTTCTAATGATGATTTTTAATTTGTTTACCATTGTAACAATGTTCAATTTTATCAGTAGATGTAATTTTTAAAATATTTTTTTGGTCTAGAATCTAGAATGAAAAGAATTTTGCTCACATCAATAAAACAATTTCTTGATTTTACTATTAATTTAAAGTAGCTTTAATGTCCCTAATGTTATACCCCGTACAGACTATGGCTTATGTCATGTAATATAGGCTGTCTTGCAGGGTTGAAAATTCTCGGGGGACAATCACCCGGGTGCGAGAGATATCATTCTCTGCGGTGAATCTCTGCTTATCTCCTCGGAGATTTTTCGTGGCACCACTGGAGAGATTGTTAGACACATCACGGGAGAGTGAGAGAGTTGGCAGTTCACTGTTTGTCTGATTATACACTCACTTCCGTGAGAAAGATGGCAGCGCAAATGCGATATTGTTTCTCCAAAGATTCCGGCAGAGCTTGACGTGAGGGGACAAAGTGCAAA